ATATCCATTTATATATCAAATATATATAAATAAACAAATATATTTGCTATAATGTTGGCGTGCACCTTCGCCAAAAAAAATATTAATTATTAATGCATATTTATAGGATGTCAGCTATCTCTTTTGATAAAACATTGTATATCGGATAATTGAAACATACTAAAGGGAAAGTTGTTATAATGAGTAAAGAGAACAGAAAGGTAGGAGATACTAAAGGGATTCTCAAACTCTGTATCTCCTCCCACGCAGATAAGTTTGGAAAGTTGCAACCGCATCTCGTCGGTATTTCAACGTGTATATATATACGTATATGTATAGAACTTCGACATCTTAAATCAGGAGACTAAAGCCATCCTCGTAGTTAGTGGTACACTACTACTTTGAAAATTAATATTTGCCAGACGGAAAGATTGGCCGGTTAAATTAAAATTCTGCACAATGGTCTCTTGCAAAAAGCAAGATTGATTACGTTACAGTAATATATACAATCTTGTAAACATTAGAGAAAATATTGTTACGTCCTGGCGACTCCACGATTCCTTCCTTCCGCAAAGTTGCGGCAATGATAATCGATCGGTGATAGAAATCAGTCGTTCGGTAAATAGAGCATCTTGCGTCACACATTCCGTAAACATTTAGTCACTTGACAATATCTATATCTACGAGTAACCGTGGGAAAGACTCGAGAGACCGGTGACGAAACCGCGCCGGTCGCCTAAAAATAAATAAAAATCGGTAGATCCCCTCGCAATAGAATTTCCCAGCGGAATAATAAACTCTGAAAAGATAATAAAATTCTCACGAAATATCTGACGAATACAACTAAATCAACAATGACACAACTTCTGTGACGACGCATTCAGTAACGACAGAAAGTAAGACTTTTTCTAATCAGATCACGTGAATAAGGGAAATCTAGAGCTCAAGGGATTCTGAACTGATCACCAATCGACGATCACCACGAGTAAAAATTCGAAAAGTAGGAGAAATACCCCGCCTAATGAGGACACTGGCACAATTTTTAATTCGTTGAAGTTTTGGAAGATTCCCACTCTTAGAAATTAGAATACACCCCGAAAAGAGAGATATAAAAAGAGGACTCGAACGGACTTACATACTTATTTTCCGGTCTTCAATTTCACGCAGTCTTACTCTGTGCTTTTGCATCGTAATTCGTGAGTTAGGCACTTAGTGCCACCAGTGTCCTCACTTGGCATCATCTCCAGAGCAACCACGAATCGAACATCGGGCTGCCGACATAAGACACAAAACGAAACACCGTACAAATTCGCCACCCCTCCACCTTTGAATTACTATTTAAAAAAGTAAGTTTAATTGAATAATTTTTCTTTTCCTCCTTTTTATCTTGTTTCTTATTTAAATCAAAACTTTCCGAAGAATGTTTCATTCTTTTAAATCATCAACCCGTTTCGGTAATAAGTCTTAGAAAATTTTAAATCCTGATCTTATGTACACGAATGTTAGCTACAAGAATATGCGATAAAAAAATTAAGAGGATTTCTATTTGAAAAATTTAAACTAGCTTTGATATGACTTCACTATTCAAGATTATTATTTTTTAATTTTTTAAAATCAAGTAACGTTTATTTAAAACATCTTTCCTTTGTATATAAATATGTTGCTTTTGAAATATCTTTAATGAATATTTGAAATTAGTTATCTTGTGTGTGTAAATGTATAATATATTTCATTGTACTTTAAATGTTCTTCATTTGGTCTATGATTTGTGCGCTAAAAATAAGTAATTTATTTTTAATTTATAATAAAACTTTTGTCATATATTTTATCATATAAAAGTAATACATAAATACAAATTTATTCGCTATTTTTATTCTTAAACTTGCATTTTGTGTTATTCTAGAGAAATGGAAGGATTATCTAAGATAATTTAATTATACAGATAATAAATTTTGTTATACTGGTTCGTTATTCTAGTATTTATAAACCTTAAAAAAAATTTTAATATATTATATAAAAACGATTGTATATGCAATTATTAGATTTATTAGTGGAAATCAAGGCTTATATCTTTGACTTTGCATTAACTAAAGCGTCAATAAATTAACATTTATCAATAAACTCTTTTTATTTTAAAAAGGAAAATTATGATGATTCTCAAAGCATCCGCGATAAATGTTAAATGCACGTTTAAAGCGCTCAAGGTATTAAAGCGTGATTCATGCAGAGTTTAAATGTTTAGAGCTAATGAACTTGCGTGTTACTTTAAGTGTATCAACAAGCCGATTAAACTTGATGTTTATCTTCGAACAGTGATAAGCGTTGTAACTTCGCGTGTAACTTTCGCGTCAATTTACGTAAATCGTGTAACTCATTGCCGTTGAACATCTATTACGAAATGGTGATGTTTTCACCATAAATTACCAATCTATTTATCTAAGAGAGAATTTTCCAAAATTTACTTTACAATTCATAAAGTCGTTAAATGCGAAGAAGTAAAAAGCAAACTTAATCAAAAACAATATTAAGAACTTTAAGAGAGAGTAACATCTTACATCAAAAATTTAATTCCTTATCGTCTTTTATTGAATTTTCTGTATGTGTATTATCCGATATCGACAATCGAGATCAAAAAAACTTTTTTTTAAATAACAAGGTCAGGAAACAAAAAGAAACTCCTCCTATATGCATTTTAAAAACTGAACGATAAGGAGATATAGATTGCTCTATTTTTTTGGCATACATACAGGTAGCACCACCTCCGATTCCGTTGAGGCCGCCGGCGATCCCGAAGAGAAGCAAGAATGAGAAACCTATACCCCTGAAATCCACACCCAGGCAAGATAATCAAGTGACTCGTCGCAAGGCAAGCGATTCTTCGTCCGCATCGAGGTTGCTGACTGCATGGAACAATATAGACTCGACGAATGAAAAACTTATAGACTTGAGTCCTTTCAGAGATCAAGATCAGGAATCTCAGGTGAGTATAGTACACGAATAGTCTTATGGAAAAACAGTGGCAATTTGGAAGTGTCATTATTTATAGCTATTCAAAAAATAGAATGTTCTGATTGGATTATACATTATTTCATGATTTTAATCTGTCCATGAACACTATGTCCTAATCAAAATAGAAAGAAAAATGAAGCGTCCATTAAAACACGTTTTTGTAATAATATTGATATGGAATTAAAAAGTAGATTAAATATTATCCATACTTTAAAAAGTCATTTATAATACAAGAAAAAACTCATTCAATGAAAGATGCTGAGAATAAAGTATCTCCTCTTTTTTAATAGCACTCAAGTCGATATCTGTCAATTTGCGTTATCCTGAATACGAATTAATGAATTAATTTTGTGTCAATTGCTTCGACGTCATTAAAAATCATTAGCTCATCGAGCTATAACTCAAGATGAAATTTCTATGCCTTTTTTCGTATCTTCGCGGATTGCAGGATTATTTGTTAAGTTACGGCGGAAAGGACGGGCAGAAAATGAACGAATGTAACGATTTCGTGGTCGACTTCGAGCGAGCGAACTTTCAGGAAGGGCGTAAGCTCGCGCAAAACTCGAGCTTCGAGGAGCTGCAGAAGGCCTCGTTGGACCTCGAGAAGAGGCTCCACGAGAGAATTGTTAAGAGCGCTGAAGCAAGGTTCGAGGACTCGAACGACCGAATGGACACTCGTCAACGACAAAGCATTGCTACCATTTCGCAGCATAATAGGTCATTATATATTTTTCTAATTCTTATTATAAGATATTGTACATGGTTATGATATGTACATGATTATTATATAACTCTATCTATATTTTCTTATAATCTCTTGAAAAGATGATTGTGCAATACATTTTATTGTATCGCTCTGTGCATCATATCGTGCAAATATATTATCGGGTTTATATATCGGTTTATATAGGATCCGTCATATTTAACGCCGAGTACTTATAAAATACTCTACGTTAAAACTACTCGAACGCAGGATTTTGCCGCGCTTCACTACCGTGAAGCATGCTTGCATTCTTTCTCTCTTTTTCTATCTCTATCTCTCTAAAGTCTGGGTCGATTTGGAGCAAGATATTACAGACGGTTACGCTCACGATAGGTTCGTTAAATGAAGCGTAAGTCTAGACTCTGTTCGATGCATTAAAGAATACCCAGGTATTCTAGCAACTATCAGTGCATTTGCTTTCTGTTTCTAAATTTTTTTGTAGTTTAAAATATAAATCGCATATTATAGAAAAAAAGACACTTTATAGAAACGCGTACTTATTACAATAAATTTACTATTTTTTTAGGATATATAAATGTGTGTATGATGATTAGGTCTTAAACAAGGCAAGAGTAATAATTTCAAGAAACTAATTGCTTGAGCTTTGTGAATGTCAAGAAATAATATTTTTATCTTAGTCAGTGTTTTGAACAAATGGTTAATTACTGATAATTGCAAATCTGATAATCTTAATCATTTTTTACGTTAGTTCTTACGAGATATTAATACGAGAAATAACCTCATCTTAGCCATTGTATCTCAAGAGGATTCTTTCTTTTTATATAGGCAGCAATTGTCAAAGTTCTCGAAAGAGAACGAATCCAGCAATTGTGAGCAGAAGGAATCAAGCGAAGACAAGCCCAGGGAAGAGACGTCATTACCGCGAAGGGAGATCTTTCCGAAAGACGAATCAAAGTACGCGACGATTTTGGCAGCTAATCGCGAGCGGAGATCAAAGTTTGAGGAGCTGCAAGCGGCCTCAAAGAATCTAGAGAGACGTTTGCACGAAGACGACGATTATCGTCGACGTCAAGAGATGGAGAGACGGATTAACAAGGACAAGCCACCCAGGTGCGATAAATACCGCTTTCTCTTTATTTTCAACGCGTTTTTTAATTCACAAATGCAGACTAATTGACCCGCACAATGAATGTAAAAGCGCGATTCGCGTTATATTTAGATACGAGGACCTGGAGGGTATCCCGCAGGAACTCGACAAACGTTTCCACGGCGAGAGGTCAGTGGAGCAGGAACAGCAGCATTCAATAACGCGAAGCAAATATGAGAGCGATATGGAAAGGGCCAGGAATATTCTACAACATAATCTCAGGAAGGAACGAGGCGGCAGCGAGAAACTCGAGAAATTGCCAAAGGCAACGCAGACGAATCTACCGCCGCCTTTAAGCGCCATTTGTCAAAGCCCTGTACCGAAACCTATCAGTGTCCGACAAGACAGTAACGTTTCCTCGGATAGTTTTAGTCAGACCAGCTCGCCCAGCTATACCAGCAAGACAATGGAAGCACCCCTTCTGCCTCACAAGCACGGGAAAGTCCCAGGTATGATTAGTTCGCAAAGCTTATTACTAACAATAAATGATTGTCTTTTTAAGAAGCGCTGTCGTTAGTAAAGAATTCATTAGCAGATAGAACGGCAGCGTCGTAAAACGGGAAAACTTTTTCCGACATAATTTTTATAAAATGTAATGTCCCGTAATGATTTTTTAAATCTTACAATAAGATTGATTTTAAAAGCGCATATAATAATATAATAATGACGATTTATACCCTTATATTAAAAATTATATATACATTATAATTATTAAATACATATTAAAATAGTAAATTAATATTATATATTTGTAGATATATAATAAAATACGTTAATGAAATTAAATTAAAGATATTATGTATATAAATAATATATTGGCTTAATAAAAATTCATTCAAACAGAGGCTTAAGATATAAGGGAGATATATTCTTCTTTACGATATAGAGTACAAAATTGAAATTTCTTTGTTATATTCTGTTCTTTTCGTGAAGCTCAAAGCTGCTTCTTGAAAATGACAGATAAATGCCTCCGCGAAATGCGACAGACGCGCGTGAGAAACAAGATGAAAAGTTTTCTTCTTTCCTGTCGCGCGCGCACGTCATCTTGATTTCTTTTATTCTATATACATCGTTGCTCCGTTATATCATTGTTAAATCTGTCTATCTAAAGCAAATAAGAGGAAAAAGAAGTAAAAAGTTTCTGAGAGAGAAAATTTAATCTGCAAAAAATTTAACGTGTATTATATATTCTTCGTGTGCGTGTTTCTATCACAATTTTTAGAGTTTATATCCTGGAAACATTGTAAATTATTAAAAAAATGGACCCCGACGAAGAAATCTCAAGACGATCGATATCGTCCTTAATTTTCAGACAGAGCTTTGGTGTCGGAGCCTGATAACTCATCCGGCAGGCCGATAACGAAGTCGACAAGCACACCGGCCAGTTTGCAGACCATCGTCAGAATGCACGGAAACAATAGTTCCTTGCATCACAAAGTAAGTAAGCCAAACATAACTGTCAAATGTGAAAGATGGAATATATGAGATATGTGTTGAAGAATGTATTCATTATGATCGGTTCCGCCCACGCCTGATCTTTTCGCTGCCTCGCCGATATACTCGCGACTTGTGCATGTTATAAGTAATAGTAAATAAAGTAGTCCGCTGGCCGAATTTAGGCGTATAGATCAATGCGACCACCTAATTGGTTCTAACACCAAAAATCCGTGACAAATCTGTGTGAGGTGCGAAGGTAGAATGCTTTCGATTACCACGATTTAGCCAGTCTGACGATAAAGAATTTACGAGCCAGAGCAACGAGTAGCAAATCGAAATAATCTCGCGCAATAGGATATATGCCGATCTCGCGACGATTGTACGTTATATATAGATTTTGCGAACAAACATGTTCCGTGAACGATATCAAAACCGTGGACCATTATTTATACCATAAAAAACGCTGAATGTGATAAAATAAAAGTGTTCGTCTTCTTCGTAATTCAAAGTTATTGTTCGTAAGTCCTTCGACATTCCGTAGACTTATTCCAGTCGCATCAGAGCTCATAAGCTTTATACTGTTAATTGGCTTCTCGTTAATAATATTAATTATTATAGATCTATTTTTGACCTATTAAATATATAAATTAGAGTTATTTCCACCGCTTTTATTTAATTGACCGCCTTTAACTTAATTATGTATTTATTTCGTTTTTAAAAAATTGTAACGTATTTACTTGAGTTAGCTTAACCTTTGTTAAAATTGTGCTGAAGATGAGACCGTACGCTTTTTATTAACACATTATAATAAACTACTTTTGCGCTCTAATTATTGCGCGTGGCTCGTATCTCCCTTTGCTTTATTTGTATTTATATACAAATTAGACTTCTTTCGAATTTTTAAATTTCGAAATTAGACAATTAAATCTATGTAAATGCACATTTACATAGTTTGTATCACGTTTTATATTTTTCGGTACTAACATCATAGTGTGCATTTTGCGAATGCATGTTCTGAATTCCTGATGTATCCGTTTGTCTGTTTCTGCTCAGATAATCAGGGACATGACTAGCAGCCACTACGTGACTACGGGAAGACTACGTTTCAGATTTATACAGATTCTGCTTAATGCCGTTGCCTTGTTGGCTATTGCTGGCGGTTTAGCCGCGTACTTCAAAAGTAAGCTTATAAAATGTTTAATTATATATTATAGAGCTATTTTTCTCTCCCTTTTTTCTTTCCTCGATCTAATCAATAATTCAAATATTTTGTATGCAATATAGCGTAATATCGATAAACGTTGCTGATTTAAATTATCGTCAAAATTTAAAAAAGCAAATATTATTAATCAAGCGTTAAAGTTGAAAAAAAATGTTGTTATATTTTTCTCTGAATGTGATATAAATAACACGAATAAAATCGGAAAACATTGAAGCATTGAACAAAATGCGTGGTATCTGACCGAAATTAACACGATTGTTTTCATCCCTCTAAGTGATTTAATTCGCGCGTATGTAGAACACAACGTGAGCTTCACACGACCGAAAGATCAATAGCGCCACGAATTCTCGCGATCCATTTGATTCTAAATATTCACGTTAGCTTAGCAACAAACGAAAGATGTTCCTCATGGAACTTCTTATGTATATGTATACTGATAATTTATAACATCTTTTTTCTTTAAAATAATATATTTTAAAATATACTTTAAAATAATATATTCCATTCATGCACATTAAACTTGCAATTAATAAATTAATCCTCGGGCAGCGAATTCTAGGTCAATTGTGACTCATTTTTTCGAAGAAAAATAATTTTAAAATAGGATTAAATGATATTTATTGTAATTCTGTGCAACGTATACGTAAAATTATTTATTAACTACCTCACATGAGCTTTATAAAGCGGTTTTAAGTTATATGGATCACGAATAAACCAGCATCCGTCCGCGGCAGTTAAATAATTTTATAATATTTAATGTGTTTATCTCTCTATAATTGCATCGCAATCTAAAGTAAAGCGCGTATATACCGAGTGATAATATTTGGAAACATCGCGGCGTCGAGTGCCGTCGCGTATCTCTGCGGGTGACATGATAATAATTACGAAAGTTTAGATGCACATACACACGCACACACATATGCGCGCGCGCACGCATGCACAGACATCTCCCGGGCTACTAACATTCCAACATGACTGGTATATCGATATTCTTTTTTTGTCCCGGAAACAAATCTTGTCGAGTCGATGACAAACGATTTAATTTATATTTCAGTAATCTGATTAATGACACAGATAAATAATTTATACCGGTCTATATTTTAACAAATATTTCCTCGCTATTCGATGTATATATTTTTTTCATTGATCAGCATATCCCGCAAGTGGCTTCAAGTTGGAAAACAAAACCATGTACACGGCCATCATCCCGATACCTGAACGCGCGCATCTAGTGACGGTGGACAAAAATCCAGATCCAGGAACATGTCTACCCATCATTGTGACCTTCTGTCGAGAGCATAATGTAACTATGCCATATTTCTCTATCTAAACGTATATTCATGCGACTCACATTAGTATCGAGATTCAATTGAAAGAAGTCATTATCTTGTCCTAGAAATATTTAACTTCTTTTTCTATGAAATGCAATCGATAAGATCTGTGCTTACTAAAAATTATTCGTATTATACTTTTCATAAGAGAGGATATTTAACTGTTTTTTAAAACATTTTAAAATAATTTCACATGGAATGCGGGTGCGGACCACGTACTCCGGAATTCGTTCCGGCGTGCCACTTGTTTTCGGATCTCGCCAAGAGC